TAGATTATCTAAACGTTTTATAATATGTACATTATAAAATATTGTACTTTTTTTTGCACGATTCACATTTTATTTCAATATTATATTCAAACATGATTTTTAAAACATAATTGCATGCTTAAAAGTTGCTTAGTATTTTATAAATACTGAATTAAATATTTAAAATTCAATTTAAATTATATTTTGTAAATTGTAATACAGACTATAGTCTAAAGTAGAAATTTTTATCGATAAAAACTTAATCTTTAAAATATCAATTGTTTTAGAACATTAGTGCCATTTTACTTATTATTACGAATTAAATATCTATATGACTATGTATTTAAACGAATACATATTATGGGTGCTTAGTTCATGTTAAATATTTTAATAAAATCTTTAATAAATTCATCATAATAATCATAATATATTAGTCATAATTCACAATATACTTTCCAATAAGAGTTTTTGTTTTAAATATTGAAATATTTATTTAGCATTTTAGTTGCACGCACAACGATGACTGTAGTCGACAGTCGTAAGTATATATTTATGTTGATGATATGAATAGAATTCAATAATATGGAAATATTTAGCTATGTGCTATAAATTAATAAAATAGCCTGTAGGTATAGATATTAAATAGGTGGTAATAATATAAAATACCTTGAATTGTACATTAATCTCGTACTTAAAAGAAACCTTTGACCTATTAGATCGGACTTCATATATATATATGATTAGGTTAAATTTTTAAATATTATTCTACAAATTATAAACCATGACGTTGTGCCCGTTGTGGTATAATAATAATAATAATAATAATAATAATATTATATTATTGTGTGGTCATCGTTTATCTAATGTTGTTTCGTTCTCTATTAACGTTATAATTTATACATGCTATATAGCGATCAATATAAAAGTATAATGATGGTTAATCATTCTCGTATTATACATTTCATCGATCGTCCGCATGCGCTAATGTTAACTTTATTGGTGGAATGATACAAATAATACTGTTTGGCACAGTATTAATGAAAAAAAATCGTTAAATCAAAAGTTTACACAGTATTGTATCGTTTATAGAGTGTATTATTATAATAATTATTATTACTATTATTATTTGCATTAAAATTTTTACATTTTAATTAATATAACATGATTTAAATATTTTAATATACTTTTATACTGTATTTGTATTATATACGATCGGGGCAATCGTCAATCGCAGTATTATAAAAACGTATTAGAAGTATAAGAAGAATATTGAACAATAAAGTGAGTTGTACATAATAATTTAAATTGATTATCAATAATAATAAATTAAATTTAAGTTTTGTTTTATCGATTTTACTATAGAAGTCAGTAATATGCTGAACTAGTTTATTAGTATTTATATTATAAATTTATGCCGTTCTACAATAAAACAACTTTTAATATTTAAAATATTGTATTAGTTATATCTACATTGATTGTAATTTGTAACATGATATCAGTAGCTGATTGATGATATATCGTATTTTACATTATATAGTGTAATAATTTGCTTATCAGTTATCAATACATTTTTATATTATACAAATCATAAATAGTATACCATATATTACAATTTACAAACATGCATAAAATAATGTAGAAAATACAGACATGTCGTTTCGATAGAAATTAAATGTATATTATAATGTTTAATATTCTATTCATTATATTTGTGGGATTGTTTTGAATCCTTTTAGAATATCAATATAATTAATGCGTATTGATTTAAAGTTTAAACAAAATAATTGTAATTATACACATTACACGGATTATTTCATTCGTTGAACTAGGTTCCCTTATTTTTATTTATTTTCCATCTTTTTACTTTAAAAATTTTCAAAAAATAAGCTCTAGTGTTTTAACCCATAACTATAGGTAAGTTTTATTGTATTATTTTATTATATAACATACATGATTTGTAATATTGGTGTATATAAGTATACTGTCCATGTGACCAGGTGTATAGTTAAGTGTGTTAAACATATTTCGAGTCAGCACAATATTAGTATAGTTTGCCATTTGGAGCTTATAAATTTTATTTATTTAATATGCTTTATTGTTTGAACCATACACATTAACTAACATTTTATAATATTTTATACCAGTAGTGTTTTAATAATTTTCAATGTTAATAATTAAACATTATAGTTATAGTGTACATAATGATTTTTTGTCTAAACTCATTATATAAACAAAAATTTAGTAATTTCATAATTTTTTTGAATTATTAAACATAAATATGTAACTTTAAATGTAACTAAGTAACTGTAACTTTAACTTGTTATCAGTTAAGTGCAAATTTATAAAGTATTTTAATTCAATATTTTAATGTAACTTTTAACCAGTTACAACTAATCTAGTAACTTGCACATCCTCGAGGACTTGAAGTGTTATCTTGGATTGATACCTAGATCTACACATAATTAGAGAACTACAAGATCTACAAATTCTCCATTTATAACACTCTTTTTTTAAACCACTTTCAAAAAGTCACTCTAAATTAAATAATGTTAGAAATGTTTAATATAGGTTTAATACTAGTCACATATCACGCCATCAGTTTTGGAAGCTGCGTCAAATACTTATAATATCAACAAAATAAAAATAAAAATATGTCATATTGTGTAAAAACTAGAAATTTTTTTAATACAATAATTATCATTTATTTTACAAAAAATGTTTGCAGTTATTTACCTACCTATATTATTTATTATATAATATTTAAACTAAATAATTATTTAAATATTTTAACATAGTTTATCGTGCACTGCACTACCGTTGATATAATTTGATTATATCGTGGGGCGCTTAACTTAGATAATTATTACCTATTCGTTGTTTACATAAACGTATTGTCAATTGTGCTACACATTAATACACACATACACACACATTATAGGTACAATTATTTTTTAACGCTTAAATGAATGATTCCACTGTTTTTATATTTTTATTAATGCTGATCTATTCATATTACTTTATAAAATTTAATTTAAAAATTACAATATCACCGAGTAAATTTTAAATAATGGATGTAAATACATGATTTTAATTTTAAAGTCACACAATTAATCAGAAAATATTAAAATAATAAATTATAATTTAACTATTATTTTAATACATACAATCTATTTGTCCTTGTCTCCTACTAATTATTTTTCTTTTTACATTGATATAATTATTATTTTAACGTTTATTGACTATTAGCATCAGTCATTAGTTCTATTAGTACAAAAATAGGCACGAGTAATGTAAGTACCGCCATTATGTTTAATAATTTAGTTTTATAGTACCATTTTAGTAGTAAAGTTATTGGTTAGTAAACCTAAAAGTGGATGGCTTGAGTAAAGTTTTACATTATGTATTCATTAATACTTTTTTTTTCTAAAGTACCTTTAATAGTAATTTGTAGGAAATAAATTGTTGTCAACTTATTATATTTATAAATGTATAATATTATTATTTAAAAAAATGTTTAACCACAACACATTTTGAGTAAGTCTTATCTTATTGAATTAACAAACTAATACATGGTGTAACATAATATAACAGGTAAGTACCTACGTATTCGACAAAATACTAAATGGTAGTAATGCATACATTTTGACAAGCTTGATTTCATCTCGATAGATGTATTTTTATGTTAAATTTATTCCAAATGACATAATAAAGTAGTTTACTTTCTTATTATGTGAAAATATAATTATTAGAGTACGAAAATTAATTGTAAAATGCATGTCCTATAAGATGGAGGATGCCAGATTTATTTTATGTAATAAATATTGAACTAATCAGATTTATAAAATATCAAAAAATTAAAATTTCAATGTATAATCCAGTTTTAATCATCTAAAACCTAAGTACACATTAATTTTAAAAATATTACATTAGTATAATATTAGCTTACAGTATATACTATATTATCTTAGTAATATTATATATTTATATACCATGTATAAATCTACAGAATGATTCATCTAGTTATACACATGCTTTTCCATGATCTGTAACTATTATCTTTTAATAATTGATTTATTCATACTCATATATTTTGAAATTTTTAATTTAATCAAAATTCGTGTTTTTAATTATATAGTTTTTTTTTATACAATTAAAATAGTATCTTGTTTACTGTATAATTTTAAAATTTGTATTTTTTTAGTCTAAATCAAAATTCAAACGCGTTCTTTCTGATTTGTAAAATTTTTTTTTTTTTACTAATTTTAATTATTATGATTTTTGAATTATCCCTTACCATCTTCTAATTTTTTTGGCATATATCTAAATTTTAAAATTTAGTAACTTAAAAATTACTTGTTAGAATATATCAATTTATGTACACTGAAGTTTTCAAATCAACTACTTATCATTACATTCATATTATTAGTTAAAAAAATTTGGTTTTTATTTAAAAATAAATAATTTTAACGTCAAAGAACATTAATTTTTAAATGGTATAGAAAATCTAAACGTTAAAAAATATAATTCTTAAGAGTTAGTTATACTTAAAATTTCAAAAAATAAGAATTTTAATGTATTAATTATTAAGGGAATATGGGGATGATCGTTTTTGGTAAATCACTCTGTCTATATATAAATATAAATACAATATATCATAATAATATTATAATATACGTAATTCGTAGTTAAAAAATGAACGTGATATGTGTTATGATGACTTTTTAGTTTCATTCATACATATTTAAATATTTTATAATATAATATTTTAATATCTAGTTATTCCATGTAATGTACCTATGAATCATAGGGTATAATGATTTATAAAATATAACTTTAACGTATATATTTAAAATATAAAATTTGCCGAGAAAAACAGCCATGTCATGCAATACTTGTATAATATTTTTTTATTTTTGATGATAAAATGTATTACTTATTATTCACTATTCAGTATAATATATAATATTTTGTTAATAGTTTAAATCACTGTAGCTACTAGCTAGTATATGTTATCATTTCAGCATGGAGTATTTGTTACCGAATCGCTGTACTTCGATGAAACGACTTGATGGGAAAACGGTTGTTGTTACAGGATGTAACACAGGAATCGGAAGAGAAACGGCAGCGGAATTTTACAAAAGAGGTAAGATTGATAATATGTAATTGTCACCACACTTTTAGCACCTAAATCATGATCTTTAGTTAACAACCATCAATAGTAATCGTTGATCATCGATGTGTTATCGTGTAACTGTGTAAGTCACAATGTAGGCTGACAAAAGGTGCCGATGTGCTGTATTCGACGAGTTTTGGTCGGCTTAGTTTTTTAATCTTAAATGGAATATAGTAGATTATTCGTTAAGCCAGTGAAACTATGTATTATAACAATAATTTAAATTAATTTTTACTGAATGCTGATATTATTTTTTCATACAATACATAAAATAATGAAGATTAATATTAATTTTTATTATAGTTTGATTTTATTTCAGTTGACTGAAGAAGCATTTTATTTTAATACGATATTATACGAGATTTTTTTTAACCAGTGGGAAAAAAATATGTAAATAGTATTTGTATGTAAATTGCTATTTACATTTTAGTTGTGCAAAAAAATTTGTCTTCATACTGTTATAAACATACCTATAATACTAATGTCCTATAGTTACCTATGTTTCACCACAATAACGATCTTGTAAATTTAGGTGCTCGAGTGATAATGGCATGTAGAAGCGCGTCTAGGACACAAGACGCAATAGATAGCATCAAAAATCAGACTGAAGGAGATAAAAACGTCGGAGAGTTGGTTTTTAAATATTTGGAATTGTCGTTTTTAGCATCCGTTAGGAAATGTGCGAAAGAAATATTGTATACCGAGAAAAGAATTGATATTCTAGTAAATAATGCGGGTGAGTATAGTTATCATATAGGTACATTATATTGTAATATAATATTATATACAGTTGTTAAGATTTTTAATATTTCGCATGTGGATGACAATAATGATATTATATATTATTATCCAAAAATTATAAATCAATAATTGTACTTAAATTTGTGTGCAGGCATAATGATGTGTCCGAAAACATTGTCAGAGAACGGAATCGAACTTCATTTGGCAACCAATCATTTGGGTCATTTTCTGTTTACGCTATTGTTACTACCCAGAATACTGAAGTCCGCTCCAGCTAGGATAATCAACGTGACTTCATTAGCTCATACGTGTATGATAATTGTATTATTTATATTACAATTTTTATATTACCACGATTAACAAAAGTAACAATTCAATTTTGATAATGTATTATTTTTGCATCGATGCCCTTACTCGTGTATAGCCGTATAGGTATATACAATTATTTAAAAACTCAAATCCTGTACTAATTAAAATTTTATAAAACTTATGTTTACATATAACTTTACTAGGTTAGAAAATATTAACAAATGGAAATGATTTATCTGTGATGAGTTACTAAAATAAAATTACAATTAAATAACTTCCAAACTTTTTTATAGATATGGGTATTTTTTATTACCTATACTTAATAACATTTCTGGGAGCTTTGAAGTTTTAGTCATACTCGAATATTAATATTAATTATCAATATGTGTACAATTTCGGATTTTAAAATGTACGTCTAATTGTAAAGCATAAATCATTATTTTAATGGTGTGTATATTGTACAGGGGGTGATCAGAAAATGCATTTTGATGACATAAATCTGGACAAGAACTATACACCCAGCGGGGCGTATGGCCGCTCCAAACTGGCTAACATTTTGTTTACTGTGGAACTGGCCAAACGTTTAAATGGTAAGTTCGGTAACCAGTATCCACAATAGCTTACAAATTGGACGACGAAATCGTATTTCGTCAACAGAAAATATACCAAAATTTTTTATTGTACAGGTACTGGAGTGACGGTATACGCAGTCAATCCAGGTGTCGTTCACACCAAACTTAGCCGGTTTGTTGATCAAACTATCTTCCCTGGCGCTTCGTGGTTGTACAACAGTTTTACAAAAATCGTTGTTAAGACACCCCAACAGGGCGCTCAGACCACATTACATTGCGCTTTGGACGAGAAATGTGCTAGTGAAAGTGGTTTATATTATAGGTGATTTGATGACGTATATATAAATGTTCTTCTTAGATTAATTTTTATACCTACAAGTGTGCATTTTATTTTTATCTATCTTAAATTTCGTTTCATGTAACGTACAATATAGGTACATACACGGTTCCTCTATAGTAACATAAAAAATGATTTTTATATCCAAGTAATTTTTTTTTAATGTTATTTTTTTCAGTGACTGCAAGGTATCTGAACCGGATCCCGCTGTCAAAGACGAAAAGGTTAGCGCAGAGTTGTGGGACACTAGCTGCTTATTAGTTAAATTAGACCCTTTGATAGATCCTTTCCAACCGGAGAAAGATAACTTATCGATTTAAAACTGTTTTAGTCAGGTGTTTTCTAGAACAATATTGTACACAGACATTGCGTTATTTTTAATGTTTTATTTTTCAAATATATAAATAATAGTTACGCACTTATTCTATCTTATAATAAATTATAATCGATGATACGTGCAATTATTTCAGATGATATATAAAATGTATATGAATGTTTTAGTTTATTATCTTACAATTATACATTTCATAATACAAGTATATCACATTAATGGCGTAATTACGGGTACAAGGTATTAACATAGAGATAGAAATCTCCCTTCAAATTTTTTATTTGAATTATGCTGATTTACACATGGTACAAAATAAAAACGTTGGTTTAATAATTACGAAGTAATAAAATCGCTCTCTTTACGATAATTAACTTTGTAATACAAAAATTAAAACTATTCGTATATAATATAACTGTAATTTTTCATAATTTTGGGTCAGTCTAGTAAATAATCTTTGATCAAATAATAAAATAATAAATTAAATTTCATATAAATAATTGTTCTCAGTATTAAAACAGTGCTTATTTTGTTAGTAAATAAAATTTTTTTTTGTGTGTACCTTATGAAACTATGTTTTCTTTCAACAATCTCTACAGCCTACACTTAACGTCCCTTTTCCTTTTAGAGAAAATCATAACTACGTTACTATTGTGATTAAATAATAAACCTGTTATTTCCGTAAAAATTTCATCATTATAATTTATAAATATTGTTGTGGTCAATCAAAATAAAGCAAAAATGGAAAATTTTATGGATAACAATATGGTCATTGTGGTCGCTAAAAACATTATGAATATGATTCGCTCGAAAGCGACTATGACGATATCCCATAACGTGGTCGTTGTTTCGTGTACTTTGGTGAGTCTGTGGTCTAACTGGTTATAAACGAGGCTCCGTATGGAATCCAATTTTGGTAATACCAAGAGTTTCGTCACGATAGGCGTGGTCAGGAATCTAGTTAACGCAAACGGAGGATGACCGCTGGTCGATTTACGATTGTGCACCGTTATGAGCAACGATGATATTAATGCGTCCATAGATATCAGGAGAATCAGTTTCAAGTATCCAAGCACTAGAATAAAAATATCCTACATATTATCTGAATTTTGTATATTATTGTAAGCACTAAACGTATATGACACTTTTATGTAGCTTGATTTGTTTGTGGTAAATGTAATAATAAAAAATGCATTTTTTGAAATTTGAAATTTACAAAAAAAATAAATGTAAATTTATTAAATTATTTTTAATAATAAAATATTGTGTATAAACATATTTTAGTTTTATTGTTTTTAGAGCAACTTTAATGTCATTGATATCATACTTTGATAATTATATTCGGGTATAACCAACAATAAAATGTCATAATTGGAAAAATATTATCATTGGGTAAATGTATTCATTTTAAAATAAATCGTTCAACTAAAATTATATTAAAATGAATGAATTAACTAATTCATTAGCTTTTATTAAACAGATTACATAAAATAATATACTTACTCAAGTCTGGTGGAAATTTAACAAAAACCGGTACATATTTCGTCATATATACAGTAATCAATGTTGAAAATATTATTGAAATGCAAATTATTGTAATTTTCGATGAGAAATTCGGCATTACACCGAAAGATGACAACCATACACAACTGATCACTAAAAAAAAGAAAAATATTTTATAACCGCATTTCTATTTGAATATTTTTTCTTGTGAATCTTTAGAATTTTTATTTATTTATTTATTTTTTTTAATTTTCTGATCCGATGAATAAATAATCGTCTAAATTTGGCCAAGTAATTAGAAGTACAAAACTAATATTTAAGTTTAAAAAAAATTAAGAAAATCATACGTATTAATGGAGCATAAAACAATTTCTCGAGAATCTTCGTGTTTCTCGATATTTCCAACTCAAGTTTCAATGCGTTTTGCGTGGAATCATCTTCGGAATTGCTGATGCTGTTCATGGATGCCACAATATCATCCCATGGGGTTTTGTCTTCTACATATGAGCTTGTCATCCTATTAAGTTTCCAATCCGAATGAGATACTTGTGAACATTCCTGTTGTGACAATACCAAACATATACCTCAGTTTTATAATAATATAATATTATAATATATATTTTAAGCTTACTACAACTAGGTAACCATATTTATTATACGTAGGTGTGTTCGTGGCATGTTTACGTGATTACTTACAGACTTTTGATTATCTTTAATTTCATAAAAGACATTAGATACTTTATGCGACCATGTGCTTAACAATAAAGTACACTTATGTTTATCCCATGGCCACAATGTCAAATCAATGTCACATTTGGTTTTTATGTCAAATTTAGGTCTCCATATGACTAGGCCATTATTGTCCACAGATATTTTCGATTCAGAATACATACTCGCAGCCGGATCCATGGCGCTAAAAACGGAAATCAACAGCGATTAAAAATTATCTATAATAGTTATACTTAGTTATATTATATGTATACATTAATTAATAATTTATACTTGTGTAATACGAGTTCGGGTTGCCATAATTCGTAGTTCGATAAATGCAATCTGGAAATATTTTTATAATTTTGAGGGTTCCAATTGATACTGTTGTCCGTCCATTCCTTTATAGATAATGATTTAAAAATAATGTATTATTTACATTTTTTATAATATTCTATCTTAGTTAATTTAGTAAAATTAATATTGAAAAAAATATATATATTAATATATTATATCTTAATAATTGATAAGAAAACTAATCGATTATTTATATATGGTAGATCATTATTTGGAGATTGATGAAAACGAACAGTGTTATAAACAATATTTTGCTTTAACTAATTTTTCATTAAAAATATACTCACTAATTGAATACGAAAACATACTTACAAAAGTGGCGATACCTTGAAGTGTGAGCGTCGAAGTCATGACGTCCTTTAATATAAAAAAATCAGAAAAAATACACATACAATGTATAAAACGTACCTATTAAGCATTAGGTATGTTTATTATTGTAATTCAAAAATAAATCATTCATTATTCGAATATAATGCTTACCAAATGTATGAACTTAAAGTTATTTATTATCGCTACGTTTAAGACTTGCTGCGGATTCGTCGTCGGATCACTTACAAATGATCCACGTTTTTTCAGTACATCTCTTTTGAGTTGTTCCGTGTATGTTAAGAATTTTCTAGTATAATCAACCCTCTCTGAAACGCAACACATTTTCGTTAGCATTGAAATAAAACAGTTATTACTTTTGTCTATTCATATATTTTATAATAACCTGTCATATTCATAATTGTTTTTGATATCACTGCAAACGGGTCAGGTTTACACTTAAACATCCATTTGCAAACTACTACGCCCCAAGAGCTGAAGCTATAATACTTGACCGGTATCGGCTCCGGGTCTGTCCAAAAAATAAACGGCAAACTTTCACCGTATCTGCCAACTTCGATTAGTCCGGACTGTCTAGTTACGCGTACCCAAAAACCGACGGGTTTGTATCTATCAAGAATTTTTCCCGTGGCAACTGTGACCACCGACGTCAGTTTGCTACGTGTGCACAGACGAAAATAGATACGTACGGTTAAGTTTATGATATTAAATCTGGGCGGTGGTCGTTTGGGCGAAGGTAATAATTTTTACCAAAAAAATAATAGTCCATTTGGGCGACTATCATTTGTACCGTTTGGGCGAGTGAAATTATTTTTACCTGCGTGCGAGGTAAAAACTGGGTGACAGATAGATACTGATGATATTATTGCAATATTGCTAATCGTTATTAATCACTATTATCGAAAATAAGAATACGATTCAGACACGCAGTCCAAGTTGTACATAATAACACTGTAGTGTGCTATGTGTAGTGTCTTGAATAATATTTTCATGTACAAATATTTAAAAATTAATTTTAACAATAATAGTCAGTTGTAAGTTTTTTTATTTTTTTACATTTATCTAAAATGGATTTAAAAATCGAACATATTTTAACTACGAAAAAAGGTAAAAGATGTATAGCTATCGAACAGTTCAAGTACACGGAATCAAATATTCTTCAAAATGAAACAATTCGATTTCGTTGTACAAACAAAAAATGTAAAGTAAGTGTCTTAATTGATAGTCATTTAAAAAATATATTAGAGATGACAACACATTTACATAATCATGAGCCAAGTACAAAAAGATCTTTAGCTATAGATATAATTCGAAGTTCTTCTAAAAAAAAAAGTTACTGAACAAATACATGAAAAACCTAATAAAATTATTAGGAAAGAATTATTAGTAGATAAGTCAGGACTTCAGGATGAACTTAACTATTCTGATATTGATTTAATTAGGCGATCAATTTATCGTAGTCGTAAACAACAGTACCCAATATTACCAAAATCGCAAAAAGAGTCATTTGATCAATTATATGATATGCAATCAACAATTAAATACAATGATCAGCAATTTTGTTTTATAAATCAACAAAAGTCAATTGTAATTATAACGTGTCGTAACAATTTACAATTCCTGTGTAAATCTAAAAATGTCTTTGGAGACGGGACATTTTCGTATTGTCCCAAGTTTTTTTGTCAACTATATACATTACATGTCTATACTTACAATTATTATGTACCAGTAGCATATATATTTTTAACATTAAAATCAAAAAACAATTATTTAAATATGTGGTTTAAAATATCTAAGTTATTTTATTATTAATTATTCATATTTTATATGATTTTGACTGTAAATTACTTATATTTTATATGACTTTGACTTATTATTAATTATTTATGCGTTATATTATTTTTGGCTGTAGACTCCTTATACTTTATATGATTTTTGACCAAATATTTACATTTTATATGATTTTTGACCAAATATTTACATTTTATATGATTTTTGACTTATTATTATTAATTATTCATATTTTATATAATTTTGTTTAATTAATTGTTGAGTGTATATTATAAGCATTTTTATACCGCTTAAACAGTATTTTTAATTGAATAATTCTCGCCCAAACAGTAGTTTTAGTTGACTAAACCCTCGCCCAAACGGTATATAGTTATTCGCCCAAACGGACTATATTTTGGGTCGATTCGCCCAAACGGTCTACGCCCTTAAATCTTGCTAGACTATAAAGTACACTGTAAAAGTGTACCTACCCGTTGAATTTTCGTATATCGCAAAAGGTGTTCGATCCTCCTCCAATAACGATTTCATATCCGAATGACGATGGTTCCCTGGCTAACATGACGTGTGCATCACTTGCTCCTTGCACGTAAAACTTAAGCATCGCGGTGCCTGTAGCGGAAGAATTTGCCGTTGGAATCTCAGTGTCGTTGTACTCGTACCAATTTTGATACCCGTAGCCTACCGTAAGAACGGTTGTACATTTTTCACCTATTTGTTTAGATGATGAGTTGAAACATATGCAAAAACGTTTGGACATATTAATATTATACCTTATTAAAGCAGCAGAAAATCGGTATCGAATTGTTAGCAGTGTCAGATGTGTATTTATAATATTTTATATGTAAGCTGACCATTAATTTATAGCCACTGCATGTGTAATGATATACTTACTGTTAATGTTCTGCTGCAAACCATGACTGGATACCGACAGAACGAGTAAAAAACTCAAAATTTGAAACATAACTCATAAGACGTTCCGAAAAATTTCGTTTTAAATCTGTTATGGATTTCGCTCGGTATATAATATTTACGTTACGTGTGATATGTGCGTAACATGTTATTTGAATACTAAACACATAACTAATACAGTGTGTAGCCTGTCTCGCACAGCCACATCCTGTATTCATATTATATTAAACTTAAATATATGTTATTCATTTACCACCGATAAACATTTGGTATATGTATAATATGCGTATAAACAATGTCCGGTAAACGAACGCGATGACAATAATATTTTCCTAAATAAAATTGATAATAGCACATATAAACTGAAGTGTACAGCTATAATCGAAATATTCGTCGTATTATTATAATGTGGTAGAAATATTAAAAAATAAAAACACGATCTATATAATACGTGAAAATAAAAATTGATTTATTTATTTTAATATAATATATATATTACAATACAAATACATAAATAGTATATGAGACCCAATTATCTGTAACAAATTTGTTATTATTCATGGATATATTAGTTTAATGTACAACAATAATTCATATACACGTTCAAATTATTTTGTTATTGATAAGCAACAATTTTTTTCCCATAGTTTAAGACACTTATGTGAAATAAAAATATAAACATCTGTACAATTAGTGTATACTAATCTATATCTAGGTAATAAATAGTTAATATTAATAATTCGGTATTGAAACGAAGATAATTTTTATTATTTTTAAGTACCAACAGGTTTAATAACACTTATTAGCGTGAATCATAGTTTATGAAAGATATGTATATTTGGAATTTAAAATAAGGTAAGATGAATTAAATTCATTTAATTAAATCTTACTTTGGTTAGATTAAGTTAGGCATAATAAGAAAATTCTAAAACTATTGAGTAAAATTAATCAAATCATGTAAAGATTAAATTTACTTTGATTGTCCTCTTATAAATGATCGAATACAATATTATAACTTTTGTAATGTGTTAAAATTTTGAATAATCTTTATCACATTCAACAAATATACACAACATAGAAAATATTAATGTCACGAAATACACTATCCAAAAGTTGCTGAAACAATTTTGAAATATTCTTTTATTTTCTTAAAATTTTTGAAATTTGAATAATTATGTACTATAAAATATATTACGAGTAGTATTTGTAGTTATAAAAATTTGTGTTTATATTATTTTCATTATTTATGTCAACAATGCAGTTAGATTTCTATACCATATATGGTATAGATATCTGTGGACACAAAGTAGCGATAGTTTTTAATATATAAACATTTTTTATAGCTAGATATCGTTGAATTTTATTGTTAATAAAAATTAATTTATACCATAAAACCTATTGTTTCTATACTTATAATTGAACTTATTGATTTGGCTGGTTAACTTGTCTTCCTACTTAGTGTTGAATAAATGATATGTTGTGATATTAAATATAAGAATTATTAGTAATTACAATGATCTAAATACATACATTGTACTTTAAAATTCTGAATTATTATCATTTTTAAATGATTGAATTAACTATGCATATTAAAAATGGATCAAAATGGTAGTGTAAATTTTATAATAAGTCTATTCTATCTTAAAATGACAATCATTTGGTTTTAACTAAATTTATGATTTATTTAATGTTAAGTATGTACATTTTCCTGAACGTGTAACTAAAAAAGTTGGGTGAGTGGTTAACAGTACTTATCCAAGAACTAAAATTATTGAATAATAGACAATGATGACGAAAATTTTAATTAAAAAAAAAATTAAATTATTGAAGAATTTAGATATTTAGATATTTTATTTTATTTTTTTTTTAAATTCTAATGTTTTCATTCTTTTAGTTTTTTTTAAATAAATTTTGATTTTAAGTGATGATATACCAAATATTACAGCAATTATTTTAAACCATGCGGTGATAGTTTTAGAAGTTTGTCCGATTTCAGATGAATATATTATATGTTATAATATATATAGTAGAAACCTATATAGTATATCATGTATACGAACGGGAAAAAGTGAGTTTTATTTAATCCAGTCGCCGGGTAGTCGGGTCGACCAATGCACTCCAATTTCGTTTTACTCGTATTTGGATGGAGGTGTATATGTATATATATATTGTTACATGATATAAAATTTGGACGGAAATAATTATCCACCGGAATAAAAGCCGACCAGTCGTAATTTATCGGTCCCTTGGTGGTGGTGGTAGCGGTGGTGCGCATACGGTCGAAATTTTAACGACATCCCCGTCGAGCTTATATAATACAGTAGGTTAAGGTTAATATATACATATATATATATATATATATATATATATATATTTGGTAAGTTTAATTATTCAGAATCGGCACTGACCGCCGCCGCGCTGCCTTTGCTCCACATGGCAGCGACCCGTAAACGCGTGAAGAAGTTATGTTATTATCGCGGAAAGCAGTCGTAAATCACGTGCGGCCGACTTCGGTTACCCATAAGGGACTTTTGAGCTCAGTGTTAATCAACTGCGTGTGTGAACATATTATTATAATATATATACAAGTTCACGGCGATGTGGTCGGTTCCGTTCGGGTCTAGTCGAAATGCTGCACATGGGTGTATTCGAATTTTCACTTACCGTTATATGATATACGGTACAGAATATTATGATATATAGATAGAGCAAAATGATAGTATACAACCACACACAACACACACACACACACACACACACATACTTTTCTACATTATGGGTCGTAGTTTAACCATATATCTTGGTGAGAAGAGACGCGTTGTATCATAACAATATTATCATATAATATATTATTTTGTTATCGTTTATATAATATAGTGTCTTGTTCAAGCAACAACGGGACAAATTGAAATATAATTGAATCATATCTATTTCAGAGAAAAATATATATGATATATGAAAATTAGTACACATATAATTTATAACTGTTACATGAAGGCTTAAGGGTAGGTAGCTGAAGATTTAGTTTGCTGTGAATTATGGGGTAAACCGTAAACTAAACAATAGTATATTTTAATATATTAATATACATATTTTTAATGAGATAATATACCTAATATGTTTAAGACATTTATTAGTTGTATTACACTTTATATAGTATAGAGCGAAATTGTAACCATAAGTATGTGCTACACAATGCAAAAATGTATTACTATTAAAGTCATTAAGTTATAAGTCTATATGATTATAACCGGTGTGTCACTTTAAAGAAAAAGAATGCAGTTTGGATTTTAATGTTATTTATAATACTCTTTGGTCAACACTCTTGATGATTAAAGAATGCCGCCATTTATTTGAACTTAAGGTAAAGCGTCATTTTGAAACTTACTACTATACGTATAGCATTATAGTGTGTATTAATACATATGTATAATAGAACAAAGTACATTTAAAAAACACGTTTTCGCTTTGGTAGCCATACTATATAGCATTTTTTTTTTCATGTGAAATCTTGATTATATACTGAACTCGTGGAACATGATTTCATACGAAACGACAACTTACAATATACGTGATCAGGCAAGGCAGATCCCGCCGAGTGTATACACTATGCATACACATCGCCTCGTGACAGTGCGAATAATAAATAATAAATAGTGGTGTGTATACGCTTGCGGAAGCTCAGCTCATCGGAATTGCTAATGTCCGGTAGTCTCTTAGCCCTCTTAGTCATCCGAAAGGGTTCTGCGTCCACGGCTAGCAATAAATCATATCAGCCGGCCGAATGTCCATTTGTTTTTGTGCTCGCAATTTAACACGCATAACATATTGGGTGCATAGTGTCTCGAGGGTAAGATTGCGTTCTATTTTCCGAAAAGTATTATTTTTTTATTTTTTTAGAATAATTTACAGTTATATTTCCGCCAATGAAATTTTGGTCCTTGTCTATCTTATGATTTTTTTTAATTTGTACAGAAATTTACGACTCAATATATATACATGGTACGTCATTCAAGGTTTTGTTAAATTAAAATACAATATCACGGAAACTATTACAAGCTTATAAATACGAGTACGTCATAATTTTTAACACGCAGCGATGAAAATCGGACGTATTTGATATTTGTTGTTTTTTTCCAAGAGAGATTTCACAATCGACTTAAGTATATAGATAATGCTTAAAAGCTTTATTGCGTAAAGGTATTGCTTGGCGACGCGGTTGATTTGACCGGGAAAAACTCGCATCACACGCGCACACACGTAATATTTATTTCGCGAATTAAGAAGAATAAAATATATATACGAAGTTTAGTTCACGGTTGACCGATAGGGGACAAAAGCAGCTTAAGCACTCTACGCCGTATCTCGTGTATAATATATATTTTATATAATATTATATATGTTATAATGTACGCTTATATTGGACAGACTAGCGACAGCGGCAGCCGCACGAGATTAGACGGGCACCGTTTTTGGACACGTTTCTTCCATTTTAAAACAAACCGTTTTAAAAAGAGATTAGAGTTTTCAATTTTTCTTGTGGAATTTTCCATAAGTAGCAGTCGTCGTTGGATTGTAATCGAAAAACTAACTGGTGCTTTTTTGATCCTCCCAATCCGTCAACGTTTTAATATAAGACCACGTTTCACATATCGCCGTATATACAATATTGCAGTTCAATAACAATGCATTGTACGATCTACAACTTTCGATACGTTTTTACCCGAACGGATACGCAACTATTAACTTTTTATAGTATTCAAATTATACATACGTATTTATTCATTATTTTTTGCGTAGGTACGGTTCATAAAATTAATACTTGTACAAAGGTCATTTCATTTATATAGCGCGCAGTAACAACCTTTAAATGTAATATAATTTTACGTCTATCACAAAGTGACACCAATCATATAATTTCGATAGAAAATCAATAAAATATACTATAAGTATAATACAAAGACTATTAGGACCTAACAAAATATCTTAAAGCTTAAATTCAAAATTTTTGAACGAAATAAGAGCTTACATATCCAGTGCACGAGGAACGACTCAAACACGAGTTTTGCTTACAGACGCATATTCAAGGAAAAATGAACCAAGCCACTTGTATTCATACAACAATTATTTTTTTTTTTAATTTAAACTAAATGTCATTATAATATATATATATATAAATAATACATAATACAT